TCCTTCCCCGAGTTAGGCCGTCTGCGCGCCGTCGTCGTCCTCGTACCTTCGTACGCGGCGCTGGAGAGACGGATGAGGAGCTCGAGCAGTTCGTGCATTCATCCCTCTTCCCTCGACCATCGACGTCTACTGCGACAAGATCTGCCACCTCGTCGACCCACCCCGACCCACGTCATGGGGCGCATCTCCTTCCACCGCCTCCACATCAAGAACGTCTGCCGCCTCGAGGGGATCACCAAGATGGCCGATCTGGTGCGCCCCTTCCCATCTCCCCTCCCTTCGCCGCTCGCACTCGTCCTCTAATGGGTCTCCATCGCGCCATCTCTTCCTTGTTGATCTCGGTTGCTGCCTCCGCCTCGTCTCTTCTCCACGGGAACAACAGATGGCAACAAGGAAAGGGGCTCGGCCCAACCATGGCCATGTCGCCGCCACCAGTTGTTTTCTCCGCCCTTCCCTCTGAGCTCTTTCTGATTCCTTCATAATTTCGTAGCTAGGGTTTGTGTGTCCAGTCCACAAGATTTCTTACAGCAACGATTGTTTCCATAAATCTATGGTTGCTATGGAGTGGTTTTGGGTACCCGTAAGATTCTTACACCAGCAACTAAAGTGACCAGGATTTGTCTTCATAGAATCCAGGGCTGCTATGGAGTGTTATTTTTCCTGGTGAGTGTATAATTTATTATAAATATTATACGATGAAGTACCAAAGTTCAAAGTGGCATATGATCAGATATTCAGAATCCCTTTGCAGGTTAAACTCTATACCAGCAAAAAAAATGTTTTACAGTATATCTCCAAGATTCTCCATTTAAGATATTATAATTTCAGTGATGATGCCTTATTTCAGGATAATTGGTGTTGTTTTTGCTGCAGCTCAGGCCGGATTTTGGATTGCAAGGCTAAGCAGGTCATCTAAATTGGTATGCTTACATAGAATTCTTTCTGTATTAGTTCTTTTGCAATCTCATTCTATCTGAACAACAAGTTTAGTGACACAACAGCAGAAGCTGAAAAGAAGAAATATATAAACCACATTGAGGAGTTAGTCCAATGAATGGGATGGGAGCCCTTCAAAGTCACATATACAAGCGATTTATGTTCAAGCTTTATACGAGCAGGCAATTGAGTTAATCAGAAAGGGGATAGCCTATGTGGATCACCAGGTTCATTTTCTCTTCTCCTTTCTTTATCATGGTATAATATGAAGTTTGAAAGGAATAGGCATGTATATCGAGTCCTTGACAAATAAGTAAAGGCTAACTGGTATATGATGCTAGATTTTAGAGCAAATCAAGATATACAAGGAAAAGAAGATGGATAGTATAGTTAATCTGTTGCACACATCTAAAATTGTTGGATGATTTCATTTCATTTTTCTAGTTCCATAGATGGGATTCAAATATTTACATGCATGATATATCACATAGTTTAGAATATGCTTTTCCTTGTCTCCTTATTATGCTAATTGGGATTCAAATAGAGAAGCCATGACACATGTCCTTTGTTCTTTCCATTTTTTTCTAGGAGTTCTTTCAATTCTCCTATGCTTGGGATCTGTTTGATTGATGGACCTTAAAGCTCATGCAATAATGCATGAACTTGTCAAAAGGTGCACATTCTAAACCAGTAATAGTGCTTCTACATTAAATTATCCATCTTCGGATGGGTCACTATTTACTAACTACTGAGTCATAAGCACCAAAGTTTGGGGCATGTGTTAGTATCCCTGTGACTTGGCATGTGAAGAAAATACACCATTTCTGTTTATTTGCATCTGTTCTTGACATTCTTTTGTCGTCTTGATACTTCATAAGTAATCTGACAAAGTCTAGGTAGTTGTTTTACTCTTTGTCGAATTCATTTTTTATTGTGATACAAAGGAAATAATGTAAATCATTAGGATTCTCCAAGAGTAAATCAGAATGCATGCTTCATATAAAGGCTTGGTTGATCTTAATAAAATTTCACTATCGATGTTCTATTCTTACATAGTTTTGTCCGAATTCTTCTTACATAGTTCAGTTTTGGTGTGTTGCCTGCTCATTCTTCTTAAATAGTTTAGTTTGAATTCTTTGCCTTGCTGATAGTATTTATATTGGCAGAGTAAAGAACTAAGCATTTGTCCTCTACGCACAAAAGCTAGATAGAGATTCTTTTGGTTGCTGCAGTGCATGCAATTCTATACGAGTATGTCACCAACTGGTTCAGATTGGATGAGTCCATGTACCATTGAGCTCTCAATGACTACTACGATAGCACCAGTAAGGTTCATGCTTTTCGATTTCTCCTGTGCAGTTTCCCTATAACTGTGAGGAATCGAATACCATCTGTGTCTTGGTTGTCATTCTTACAGTTTGATATTAGAGCTTCATAGTAATTACAGTCTTTATTTTTATGATGAAGATTTGGTGGGTGAATTCTATCTATGGTTGACGTTGTTGTTGTTATATGTTGAGGTTTTAAGTGTTGATTGGTGTCTTGTCAATTTGATAGATGATCATAGATGTCTCCTTTGCCGTATGTGTGGTTATTGATTTGGCTCTAATATGTATATATACGATGTGGTGAATATGTACAAATGGTTTAGGTACATGTGGTGCATGGTGCCTACTACCAAACTATAGTCGATCTCATCTTGTAATATCCGTAAAGCTGGAAGACCGAGATAACTAGGCCTGCAACACAAGGCAAAAATAGATGCCTAATCACACCTTTTGGCTCCTATAGGAATGATGAAGAATTTTCTTGGGCACAAAATGTACACTAGGCTTGTCATATCGTCTAGAGTAGCATACTTCGAAGCTTATGTGAAGTTGTTCCCTTGTTCTAGCTTTGACAAATATGACTGACAAGCGGGTGAAATGAAAAGTTTGAATTTGTTGTTATGTTATTTGCATCATTCAAGGGCTCATGTCACTAATCTCATGCTAACCTTTAACCTTTAACATATGTTGAAAGCCAAAGATGGCACCAGAGAGATAGGAGGTGTGATTGGGAATAGGATAGAAACAAGCATAGTACTAGCGTGTTACTTACATTTCAAACTAGATGTCTTTGATACCATACTTGATTTGTATATATAAGAGCATGTTTGTTTGATAATAACCTTCTTTCATACATCATCCACTTGCTCATTTTTGTTATCTGTTTTGGTTGACTTGTATACCTAGAGGTATATCTTCTTCCTGAACATATGTCAACTGTGTGATTTATCTACTTATTGTGGGATTTCACATCCAGGTTCAGCTGCTACCAACATAAATGTGGCTATGTTGGAAGATGATACAGGAAATGTTCATGCCGCTCTAAGCCATTTGCACGAAGCACTATTATTAGTAGTTACAGAAGCTGGCACTTACATGGGTGCATGTCGGTGCCTTCTAGAGATTAGGTTCCTGTTTATCTAATGCAAATTTTGCTGCCTATATTGCGCAAGATTGCTTTGCAGTTCTCTTGGACACTAGGATTGATTGTGTTGCTTGGTTCTGGTATCTAAGGATCTCTTGTGCTGAAACATTGCGGTGCTTTGCCAAGTTTTTGTGGTTCTTTTTTACTGGCAAAGAAAACTTACGCTAACAATCGTTAGTTCATTGGGGCACATGAACCATAGTGAACATTGGTTAAGATGAACACATTGACATAATGGCATTGATGTTTGATGTATGTATGTTTGTATGGTCCGCGATGGTGGCATGAAAAGTGAATCAAGTTGGTAGACAATCTGAGACGATGTCTGGTTAGATATTATGGAGATGGTCACTGTAGAAGTGAAATTTAATCTGTAGTAATGGATGTGTCTGATTTAGTACTGGCAATGTCAGTATCATATTGCTGTATGGAGTAGCAGAGGGAAATGTGTGGTGTAACATGGTTGAGTGAGCCAGGACTTTCTGGTCTTTTGCTATTTGTAAATAAATTAGCTGATTTTATCTTGATTCTAAATTTCTAATACAGCTACATATGTACATACTGTTATGGGACTTCATATTGTCAATTTTCTTATTTTAGTTAAGTACTGCATTTTAGATGTGCACTGTGCTTGGAGCAACTAACACCACCAGGATAGTAAGATTTTTATGATTTATACCAAAAACTATTCCATGTTACTTGACAATAAATGTGTATGAACTCATGTGAATATGGACACCCTAAAGGTGCAATGAGGTGCTTCAGCAAGGCAAGTGTGCCACAAGTACGCACTCAGGAGGCCCGCCATTGGCGGGCCCCAACCACTAGTTACTCCAGTAGGGTGCGCAGGTGAGCCAAGGCCAGTGGAAACCTCCGAACAACATATCACCTAATCCAACAATACACTCCAATGTTAGGTCAGGAGTAGTACTTTTCTTTAACAATGATTCTATGGAGAAACAGTTGGTGGTGCTGGTCCACCGCCCTACTACTATTCTCACCACCTTCAATCTGGTTAGGCTGGTCACAATGGACAAGAACATAAGCTAGTAACTTACACACTTCCCTAGACTATATTACTACCTCCATAGTGAATAGGAACATCTATGTAGTGTCATATAACGATGTATTTATTAGGTTATAGACTCATTGTTTCTTGGAGTGTGTGATGTTCCGGTAACTTAGCTAGTTACCACAAACACCTTTCTCTTCATTAAATATGTGCCACATAAGCAAAGTTGTATTAGAGTGTGTGATGTTACTCCTAAGTTCCTCCCCATTGTGACCAGCCTTAGCACCAATCTTCTCTGCTTGCCTCTGTTGCAGTCTTGCAGAGCACCAAAAGCAAAAGGTATGTTGCCCACGGTTGGGACTTGGGAGGCTGAAGGTTGATGCTGCCAATAAATATGGAGGCTGCTACGATTGCTGGTGGTTTCATGACGAATTTTGCTTGTTTTGGAGTTTTGTAGCTTGTCAGGGTGCTTGTCAGGGTGCTGTGTTCTGTCTAGGGGCCAGCCTGATTCAGCAGGTCTCTACATAACGAAGTGGCCATTTCCGCTTCCGATCCACAGCTTCAAGCCAAGGCCGGCGTCATGGACCCTGGCTCCGACATCATCGAGTACGAGAGGCCCGGCGTCGTGCGCGTGTACAAGAGCGGCCGTGTCGAGCGCTTCGACGGCACCGACACCAACACCGTCCCGCCCTGCCCCTCCGGGGACCCCGCCAATGGCGTCGTCTCCAAGGATGTCGTCCTCGACGCCTCTGCCAACATCTCCGCTCGCCTGTACATTCCGGCCGCGGAGCCTGGCAAGAAGCTCCCCGTCGTCGTTTACTTCCACGGCGGCGGTTTCCTTGTCCAAACCCCGGCCTCCCCGTTCTACCACACCTACACCGCGTCGCTCGCCGCCGCGGCGCCCGCCGTCGTCGTCTCAGTCGACTACCGCCTCGCTCCCGAGGACCGCCTCCCCGCCGCCTACGACGACGCCTTCGCCGCGCTTAAGGCGGTCGTCGCCTCGTGCCGCCCGGACGGCGCCGAGCCGTGGCTCGCGGCGCATGGCGACGCCTCCCGCGTCGTCCTCGCCGGCGACAGCGCCGGTGGGAACATCGCGCACAACACGGCCATAAGGCTGCGGAAGGAACGCATCGAGGACTACGGCGACGGTGTAAGCGGCGTCGCGCTCCTGCAGTCCTACTTCTGGGGGACAGAGCGGGTGGGCGGGGAGCCCACGGATGCCGCCTACCGCGGCGAGTTTGAGCGCTTGTGGGACGTCGCCTGTGGCAGCCATTTCGGCCCCGACCACCCTTACATCAACCCGGCGACGTCGCCCGGGGAGTGGAGCCAGCTCGGGTGCGACCGCGTGCTGGTCACCACGGCCGAGCTCTGCTGGTTCGTGGACAGGGCGCGCGAGTACGCGGATGGGATAAAGGCGTGCGGATGGGACGGAGAGGTCGAGTTCCACGAGACCAAGGGCGAGGAGCATGTCTACTTGTTTAAGTCCGGCTGCGACAATGCCGTCAAGGAGCTCGCCGTCGTGGCCGACTTCGTCGGGCGCTGTTGAGGTTGCTTGCTTTTCTGCTCGCCCGATGAATGATTCATCAGTATTTTCTTTTTGAAGAGACAGCGCGATTCATCAGTAATAAAGGATAACATAATTGGCGAGTGATAGGCGCCGATCAACCGACTAAAATTTGATTATGAGATCCAGGCAATCCAAAGTAGCAATGTCAAATTCATATATTCTCGGAGTCAGCTGCTTTCAAAATAATTGTTGGATCATGGCGGCAATGCCAAGACGCAGGGGAATTCTTCCAACATCCAATGGATACATTCAATATCCCTGAACATCTCAGGCCAACCTCATGTATTCCCTACTAAAAGTCTCTCTGTGTTCTAGGCATTTGGTGCTCACAGTAAACCCTAACCATAGGATAAGTGAACACCTTCGTGCATACTATGATTATATCTTCAGTCATTCGAAGATACTCATATGCAAACATTCAAAATGTTGCGGTCACCTTTTGGAAACAAGAAAATCCTAGCGGACCGACATATTTATCCGTTGCTTGAAGAACGGTTATTCGTCTTACATGTTATCACCAATTTGATGAAACAACTATTCAGACATATGGAAGCGTCGCCAGAATTTGTAGCCATGGTAGGTACAACCGGGCACAAAGTAGTCGACCATAATCTTATCACGATCGGCGACTCTATTCCAGTAAAATGCCACACGACCCATCTATGACCCCGCATGCTTCCTCTTTATTTTGTTTGCCGCTATCCATTGAGCAACCATCAACACAATCTGATAGTCTCTAGTGTCCATTGAGGGAGTCCTGGATTAGGGGGTATCCGGACAGCCGGACTGTGTACAACGTCCGGACTATTAAAACGTGAAGATAAAGACTCAAGACTTCGGCCCGTGTTCGGATGGGACTTTCCTTGGCGTGGAAGGCAAGCTTGGCGATCCGGATATTATATTTTCTTCTTTGTAACCGACTCCATGTAAACCCTAGCCCTATCCGGTGTCTATATAAACCGGAGAGGTTGGTCCTTAGAAGGCCGATCACATTTGCATTCATACCATTATAGGCTAGCTCCTAGGGTTTAGCCTCTATGATCTCGTGGTAGATCTACTCTTGTACTACCCATATCATCAATATTAATCAAGCAGGAAGTAGGGTTTTACCTCCATCGAGAGGGCCCAAACCTGGGTAAACATTTGTGTCCCTTACTTCTTGTTACCATCACCATTGACGCACAGATCGGGACCCCCTACCCGAGATCTGCCGGTTTTGACACCGACATTGATGCTTTCATTAAGAGTTCCTCTATGACGTCGCTCGATGGCTCCTTCGGTCATCATTAACGACGCTGCCCAGGGTGAGACTTTCCTCCCCGGACAGATCTTCGTGTTCGGCGGCTTCGCGTTGCGGGCCAATTCGCTTGGCCACTTGGAGCAGATCGATAGTTATGCCCCTGGCCCTCAAATCGGGTTCGGAAACCTGAACCACACGGCGGATACCCGAGGAGACTTGATCTTCGGCAGATTCGGGCCAGCACCAGAAGCGCCGAACAGTCACGATGAGCACGGCTTAGACCTGCTGTTAGACGTTGCTTGGAATATCACCCCGGCAGAAGCCCCGGACCTAAATCTGGGATAGGTTGCGTTGCCTAAAGACGGAGGGCTGGACCCCGCCCCATAGGCCCTACCCTCATTGGCGATGGAGCCGAACACAGGCTTCACTTTTGAGGAAATCGGTGACCCCGGGCCCCTAGACTCGTGTCCGGTTGTAGGCTCCAGTCCGTGCGTCCCCGGGCCCGCCGATCCCGTTTGGGCTCTGGTGATGGAGTTCACCGCGGCGGACATCTTTCAGCACTCGCCCTTCGGCGACATACTAAACTCATTCAAAACCCTCTCTTTGACAGAGAATCTCGGGCCGAATTATGTTCGGCTCGAGTGGGAAGCAGGCGACGAAGACATTCGTTGCCCACCCACCACCCACTTCATAGCCACGGTTGATGATTTAACTGACATGCTGGACTTCGACTCCGAAGACATCGACGGTATGGACGACGATGCAGGAGAAGACTCAGAATCTATGAGGTGCCGGATTCACGCCTCGCCACACGACATATACATGGTGGATACGCCCAAGGAAGGCGACAGTGACAATCCAGAAGATAACACCCCTGGGCAAAAACCAAAGCGACGGCGCAGACGCTGTTCCAAATCCGGCAACAGTAACAATATCATCAAGAGCGCCAGAAGAATGGATACTCCGGTCAACCATGAAGGCAATAACGACCAAACAGAACCAGCGATGGAGCAGGACGAACCATGTCACGCTGAACATAATTCGGGTCATACGCCCGAAGAAAACGATCCAGAGGGACGAGTTCACCAATCCGGCCCAGGACAAGAAGACAGTCCGGATGACGACGCATTCATTGTTCCGGAAGAACGCGTGGAACGAAAGAACCTCCACAGAAAGCTTACGGCTACAGCGAGAAGTCTGAAGAAGCAGAAGCAACGGCTTAAAACCACACAGGAAACGCTCAATCGCAGATGGAACAAAGTGCTAGACACTGAAGAAAGATACGACGACGATCGCCATACAAAGAGCTACCCAAAACACAAGCTACTGCCAGAATTCGACGACGAGGCTCTTCCACCGAAGAACAACACGACCAGGAGACTAGGAGTACCACTTCATAATCGCAACAAATTAGCTGCCAAAGACGCCCACGATTTACGTGAGCACCTAGAGAAGAAAGCTGGCGCAGCTAGGTCCATCTACGGATCTAAAAGAGACACCCCGGCGAAGGACTATGGTCGTCAAAACAATTATGACAACCAAACACCAGTTCGGAATAAACACCGAACACAACAACAGCCGACGACATGCCACAGTGCGTCCCGATACAGAGGGGCTGCTCACCCCTGTGCTTTACTGATGAAGTACTCGACCATGAATTCCCACAGGGCTTTAAACCTGTAAACATAGAGGCATACGACGGAACGACAGACCCAGGGGTCTGGATCGAGAACTTTATCCTCCACATACACATGGCTCGTGGAGATGACCTCCATGCCATCAAATACCTCCCCCTCAAACTGAAGGGACCAGCTCGGCATTGGTTGAAGAGCCTCCCCAAAAATTCAATCGGGAGCTGGGAGGAACTAGAGGACGCTTTCAGGACCAATTTTCAAGGGACTTATGTCCGGCCTCCGGATGCTGACGATTTAAGTCACATAATCCAACAACCCGGAGAGTCCGCCCGCAAGCTTTGGAACAAATTCCTCACTAAGAATAATCAAATCGTTGACTATCCGGATGCCGAAGCCTTAGCGGCATTCAAGCACAGCATCCGGGACGAGTGGCTCGCCAGACACCTCGGCCAAGAAAAGCCAAGGACAATGGCAGCCCTAACAAGCCTTATGACCCGCTTTTGTGCGGGAGAAGATAGTTGGCTCGCCCGTAAAGGCACCAGCGACCCCAGCACATCCGAAGTAAGGGGTGGCAACGGGAAGCCACGGCGTAATAAAAACAAACGCCAAAACAAGGAAGAGAGCCCGGACAACACAACGGTTAATGCCGAATTCCGAGGCTCTCGACCTAACCAGCAAAATAAGCAACCTAAAGGCAGTAAAGAGGGACTGTTCGGTTTGAACAGAGTTCTGGACAGACTATGCCAAATTCATGGCACCCCCGACAAACCTGCGAACCACACGCACAGAGAGTGCTGGGTCTTCAAGCAGGCCGGCAAACTAAACGCCGAACACAAGGGAAGGGAAACACCAAGTGAAGACGAGGATGAACCTCGCCAACCGAACACTGGGGAATAGAAAACATTCCCGCCAAAGGTTAAAACAGTGAACATAATCCACGCGACTCGCACATCCTTGGGAAGGCATGAACGCGCCCATAAAGACGCACACGATATAGAGCCCATCGTACCCACACCTAACTACTGGATGTCTTGTTCGATCACCTTCGATCACCTGGACGGCCGAACTAGTATTCGGCGTGAAGGATCAAACGCCTTGGTGCTTGACCCAATAATCGACAGATACCATCTCACTCACGTCCTCATGGACGGTGGCAGCAGTCTCAATTTAATACATGAGGACACTGTCCGCAGGATGGGGATAGACTCATCCAGAATCAGCAAGATTCACACCACCTTTGAAGGGGTGATACTAGGCTTTGAAGCCTACAGCAAGGGCTCCGTCATACTGGAGGTAACATTCGGCTCTCCAGGTAACTCCAGAATCGAAGAACTAGTCTTCATCATCGCACCCTTCCAAAGCAGCTATCAAGCATTGTTTGGAAGAACGGCCTTCGCCCGCTTCAACGCACTGCCGCACTATGGCTACCTTACACTCAAGATGCTCGGTCCACGTGGCGTCATCACCGTTAGCGGAACAACGGAGCGCTTTTCACGCGCAGAGGAATACGCGACGGCCCTAGCGGCCGGACTATAAGCGGCCTCTAACAAAATTATACCAGGTCATTAAGACCACAGACACGGTTAGACGAGTCCGGCAGCCCACATTAAACGAGGGCATTGTATATGTAATCCTATAGTGGACACCAGGGGCTAATAATAAAGGCCCACACTATCGGCTCAACCTTATTGGCAGGCCAGCATTTTACATTTTCTACTATCCATCGCACACTTACGTTGCACTCTTCCATGAGATCCCCTCTTTCCGCAGACAACGTTCGCGCGATACCCCTCCAGGATGCGGCACAACGGAGGCAAAGGCGCAGACGTGCAGCAGGGCCCCGTGCAACAGGTTCCTCTTTAGATTAAGCCCCTGTGTAAACCTTTTCTATTGCCTCTTGTAGTTTCATTATCCCATGGGTTCCATACCCACAGAGGATACTACAGTTTTCGACATTACGCCACGACAGATTAATGCACGCACCTGGACAAACAGAGTTTATAATGAATGGGCATTCTTGAGCCCATCATCTGTTAGAAAGTCCGAATACCTTCGGGAGTGTTCGGCGTCACGATTTTGGCCTTATATGCATCAGCTCCGAATCA